TAAATAATTTATATAAAGTGACAGTATCAATAACATTGATCTATTGCGAGTTTAAGCACTCTCAAAAAAACAACTATAGTTATAATCACTGAAGCTGTATACACTGTTAAATGAATCGCTTACTTACTTACATTACTTTGTTGTTTATGATGAGAGAATTCGCAAGAGTCCGGAATTCATAATATATTTATATATATATAAATATATATATTTATAGTATAGTTTTTATATATAAAAACCCAAAAGTTATATTTTTGGTAACTGTAAAGACCCTTTCGCACCAAAAGTGAAATGAATAAGCCTCAGGCTGAAGGAAGTGCCTCTGTCTCGCATTACTTGTAATACGTTACCCCCAACACTGGTCACAATGTTGTCTTTAGTTTTATTTTAAAATTGTAGTGTGGTATAAATAACTTTTTAAAAGTATGAATATAATCTCTCAAATAATATGAAGTAAAACTGCATGTATAATACTTAAAAGAATAAATACTGTTAACAATAGATGTAGATGCAGAACACCAAAGTGAAAAACCAACACTACCAAATGTTTCACAGATTGTAATGTGTATTGTGTATTATTATGATTAAATTAGCTTCAGCCATTTCTGAAGTTAACTTGGTTGTCTAGATACACAGAGACATCGAAAGAAAGCTGGGGGCAGAATGAGGCAGATGGAAAGGGGCGATTTAGGGCTTGGGGGGCACATGAGGTCCCTGGAAGGATGGCTGCCTAGTTCCGCATGGCGATTATAACAACATCTGAGCTATTAACATTTTTCCAAGAACTATTTCAAACATTGCATCTGTGCTAAATATATCTTATCAATCCGTTTATCCTCAGTCTGAACTGCTCATCATAAATGGAGTTTTCTAAAATAGCACCTTCTATCACACCTTCTGGTCAAATAAATAATCGCTTTCGTGATTGGTTTGTATCCGTTTATTAAGTCAACAGGAATTCACAAGATAATAAGATTTCAATCAGTCGTCTTCCTGGAAGATGGGTTGACATTTTTCATCTTCATGGCAGAAAGGCCAACCGACTGTGGATTGTATGTGTAATGATTCTGTAGTGGAAAAGGTTGACTGACAATCACTATGTTTACAGAAATTCTTGCACTCAGCTCGCTCATGGCTCCAATACGGCTTCTGCTCAATAAATGTCGCTTGGATTTGTAAAGGTTACATTAGACTTGGGCAGTACCATTAAGCTACAATTGTTTTGTTTGTTTTACGTGACAAGTGCAAAGCTATAAAATTAGCAGACCTCTTGTCACATAAATGCCACCACAAAAAAGGTGAAAACATAAAAGAAAAGAAGTGAGTAAATCAATTCCAGACATCACAATAATCCATTAACCAGAGCATCACGTTAATGCCACAATTTAAAAGTGCTGGTATTAATTAGTTTGTGCTTATATGATGGACAGCCTGTCATCTACTACGGTGAGCCAGAGTCAGAATACTGATAAGAGGGTCCAAGGTAAATGAGAATGTTTAACTGCTCAGCAGGACTAGGGTCATTTTAATGCCACCGCTACCAAGAATCTGCAGCCATACAAAAAAAAAATCAGACAGCTTTCTTGACGTGTCCCATTATGTGTTAAAAGGTCCAGAGGCCCGTATGACTCAGTTGGGCACGTCACTAAGCGACTAGGCACGGACTGAAATTAGTATCACTGGAAATCAAAAAAGTCGATGACTGTGGCAGACACACACACACACACGCACACACAAACATAATCTATCCTCAAAGAAAAAGATCCATACTCAAAGCAACCTTGCACTACTTAGATGAACCTTACTCAAGTTAATTAAATTAGCTCACGATCGACCGAAACTTTCTTTACAGTAAAATAGCAATTAGTCAAAACAATTGAACACTTTTATTTTCCTGTCATGCCTGTGGTTGCAAGTAAATCAATTTCACATGCTATAGTGTTGATCAATCCTCATAGGATGCATAAATTGCTTACATATGCAAGGGCCGTGGCAATGTGTTTCTAAGCATCTGAATAGGAATGACAGTAAGAAATGTTACAGACATTTAAAACACTTGTGTATTGGATATTATCTCAGTTTCTTGCATTTTCCTACTTTCCTTAATTATTTCTTTCTAGGAAATCTGCACAGCTAATTATGCGGTTTAATTTTGTAGCAGATCAATCACTCCTGGTATTTTCCCTCTTGTCGGTTTGAGGCAGGAAAAGGAGGCATTTCAGACATTATCTATGGTAGAAGATCATTTTGACATACTATCATCAAATAATCTCTCATGTCAAAATATTCAGAAGATCAAATATTTTTCATTTTTAAAACTGATATTTTCTTTACTAAGGCAAACTTTGCACAAAAATTAAAATGTATTGAACATTTACTCACTCTCAGGCCATCCAAGATGTAGATGAGTTTCTTCATCAAAACAGATTTGGAGAAATGTAGCATTACATCACTTGCTAACCAGTGGATCCTCTGCAGTGAATGGGTGCCGTCAGAATGAGAGTTCAAACAGCTGATAAAGACATCACAATAATACACAAGTAATCCACACAACTCCAGACCATCAGTTAACATCTCGTGAAGTGAAAAGATGCATGTTTGTAAGAAACAAATCCATTATTAAGACATTTCAAACCTTTGCTTTCAGATGAATATTGACCTCAGTCAATAATATTGCAGTGAAAACGTATATCTCCAGTGAAAAAGTCTTGTCTGAATCAGCAGAGAAATAAGCATAGAACAAGTACCATTTACAAGTGAAAACGGCTAAAACCATTCTAAAAATGTTGGTAGATTTTGATGTGAGTGGACAACATGGGATGGACTTTTTCACCGGAGGAAGCATTATTATGGAGAATGGACTTGTATTTTGGCCAGAAACTATGGTTTAAACTTAAAACACCTTAATGATGGATTTGTTTCTTACATGCAGCATTTGACTTCACACAGCGTTAATTGATGGAATGCAGTCATGTGGATTATTGTGATTTTTTATCATCTGTTTAGACTCTCATTTTGACGGCACCCATTCGCTGCAGAGGATCCATTGGTGAGCATGTGATGTAATGCTAAATGTCTCCAAATCTATTCTGATGAAGAAACAAACTCATCTGCATCTTAAATGGCCTGAGGGTGAGTAAATTGTTAGCAAATTTTAATATTTGAGTGAACTTTTCTTTTAAAACTATAATCAATGATAAGGAAGAACTCTATACTGTTTTGTAGACAGAGCAGGAGCCTGCCGTCCGATGCCCCTGTTGGATTGATTTTGAGTTGCACTTGCACTCCTATGAGGTGCTTGTATTGCATACCCCATTTTTGCACCTTTGGTTGTAATGACACAACTGGTCATGTGATATAAATATGAAGATGCCCATGAGGGGGCAACCTGCTCCATGTAGAATAAAATAGCTTTTATTTTTTTTTTATTTTTAATCTTTTTCTAGAGGAGTGATATGCCTGGAAACTTCATCTCAGGTTGAGTTTTTCAAAGGTACTGTATGTATAAAACTTTCTCATTAGCAAAACGACTGCGTGCACCTTTAAGAGAGCAAAGCGCGTGACGCCCCACTGAAATGTCTCGGTAAACTTGGAAAATGACTTTTCTCATTACCTCGAGGGATTGAGATGGCCATGCTGACAGGCTGCATATATAAAGGAGAACAGCATGAACATGCTTATGCTCAACTGCGGAAGCAAAGCTTGCGGACCTGTGGCATTTAATTGCAACCTTTACGCAAAGGCGCTCTTCTGGACTGCCTCCTCAAGTGGATTGCTTTACTAGAAAAGATTGGAATATTTCGTAAATTAAAAATAAATAAATAATAAGTAAACGTATACAACACACAATAATTTTACACGTATTTATGTGTGTGTGTTTATATTAATCTAATTATTTTTGCAGTCTGCACATTCTGTGTCTTAGTATAAAAACACCTGTCTTGGATTTTCAAGAAGCTCCCTAGTGATGATTTGATGAATTTTTCCTTTTCTTTTTCATCCCAATGCCCGTCCTAATTGCTGTCATGGAATCGTTTGGGTCTTCGGTCACCGAGTCTACCGACATCACCACACCGGACGATCCGTTCTCGGGTCCCCTCAAGTCTGTTGCGCCCTGGAATTACACTTTCCTCGCCTGTCTGATGTTCATAGTGACTTCACTATCTATAACAGAGAACTTCGCCGTTATGCTTGTGACGTTTAGATTCAAACAGTTAAGGAAACCGTTGAATTACATCATTGTTAATTTATCTGTTGCTGATTTTCTAGTTTCGCTGACAGGAGGCACTATAAGTTTTCTAACTAATGCACGAGGTTTCTTCTTCCTCTGTCTGATGTTCATAGTGACTTCACTGTCTATAACAGAGAACTTCGCCGTTATGCTTGTGACGTTTAGATTCAAACAATTAAGGAAACCGTTGAATTACATCATTGTTAATTTATCTGTTGCTGATTTTCTAGTTTCGCTGACAGGAGGCACTATAAGTTTTCTAACTAATGCACGAGGTTTCTTCTTCCTGGGCGTCTGGGCGTGTGTGCTGGAGGGATTCGCTGTGACTTTTTTCGGTGAGTTATTATATAACAATACCGAGACGTGTAACATTTATTACTTTAAACTAAATAGTACATGTTATGCTAATAATAAAATGTATTGTATTTATTTATTAGTACTCATTCCTTTGCTACTAGTCACTCCCAGTGGCAATTCTATTGTTATTGGCAACAAATTGCATATTTTTTGCCATTCTGTTTTGTTGTGGTATGTATTCCACTTGTTGCTGGTGTCTTTTATAGTTTTATTCTTTAAATACTAGTTTTATTTCTTATTTACTACATACCAGTAATTATCCCAGTATATCTGTTAGTAACACGCAAAAATTAATAATAATAAAAAAAAAAACTACTAGCGACTAACTGAATAGATACAATTCACTGTTGGATTACTTTCTTTCTTTGTTATTTATTTTTTGGCAGATTATTTATAATTTCTCTCTCTTTTTTTTTTTTTACCACAAATATAATGGTTAAAATTTGGTTACTATAGTAAAACAATGGTAAATTTGTGGTAACTATAGTTATTGTAGTAGACCATGATAATTTTTCATCTATTTTCATCCATCCGTTCATTTTCCAAACCACAGGGTTTTAGTTATACTGGAGCCCATCCCAGCATTTTAGGCCATAGTCAGGGAAACACCCTGGACAGATGGCCAGTGGTGAATTGTCATAAGTGTAGTAGGCAATTAAATTTTAATAATTAAAAGGTAATTAAAGAGTACTAGTAACCTAAAAAAGATACTATCTAGTTTTACCGATGAATGTTAAAACAAAGCCCTGATTTCATGCATATTGTCTTTGTTTTACTAATCAGCCCATTTCTTCTACGTAAGAAAAAATTTAGCTTTGCTAAATTATAATTAAGGCATAAAAAGTAGAAATTATGAAATGCAAAATCATACTTGTGAGATATAAAGTTGAAATTATGACAAAAGTCAGCTTTTTATCTCATCATTTAGACTTTTTATCTTCACCAAAGCATGATTTTTTTTCTTATGTGGTGGCTTAATGGCTTCCATATGCAATCAGGTAATCAGTGTCTTGTTTGAACTTGAGGAGTTGCCCCTCCCTGCAGTAAACATCCATTAGTTGTTCTTGTATCCCATGCTCATAGCTTTTTATGTAAAATAATTGCGAGCTGGAATCTTATGAATTAATTTTAACAGTCAAAATTACACAGACCTTCTGTTTTCATGTCTTGTTAAATGTCAGTACAGGTACATATTATATTACTGACTCAGTACAGTAATAATGGGTGTACTTTCTTGGTTTCTAGGAATTGTGGCTTTGTGGTCTTTAGCAATCTTGGCATTTGAGCGTTATTTTGTGATCTGTCGTCCTCTGAAAAATGTCTGGCTGGGAGTCAAGCATGCAGCTATGGGTCTTGTTTTCGTTTGGACCTTCTCCTTCATCTGGACAATCCCGCCAGTTTTTGGCTGGAACAGTTATACAGTCAGCAAAATTGGTACCACCTGTGAACCCAACTGGTGAGCTCAAAATACTGTTTCACTGAATCTGCCTACCTTCATTCCTTCATTCACTCACTCTGTTTACCTATTATTTGTTCCTCTCTCGCTCACAGTCTTTCAATCTCTGTCTGTGTTTGTCTGTCATGGCCATGTATGAAGAGAACAACATCCACAATATGATGTTATTGATGAATACTAATGTGCCTTGCACATGTTCCTTAAAGTGGCATCATTTGGATTCAGACAAGGAGTTAAAGTCAAGGCTTCTTCCTGTGTGTTATATTGTGACAGAAAAAAAGGAAACCACTTATAAACCCAAGACTGATTCCATGCAGCCATCAGTTGAAAAATTGCTTTCAAGAGACTGGTACAAAACATTTGTGGCTGTGGCTATGGTTTGGCCTTGGCCTTGGAACGCAAACAGTGCACAAACAATTGAATAGGGAATGCACACTGACACAGAGAAGACCAAGGATGGGGAATATTTTTACCATTGTGGGGCATAGTTACATCCATGTTGATGTTCAATAGAGTAGTGTAGTTTCTGCAGGTGAGAGCTCTGACAGCTAAACAGTAAATGTAAGTTTGTAAATTTTGGTTTCTATTCAGTCTCAGTGATCCAAATTTTGACACTGCCTTGAGCTTGCAGGTGCTTATTACTCAATTATGTTGCAATGTTTGTTTGGACCAAACAAAGCACTTCACAAAGCACACTAAGCATATTATGCAATTGTAAAACATACACATGTGCTCTTAATGTTAAAGATTTGTGAACAACTCATTATTATCCATGCTAATGTTTGTGCTCAAATGGTGTGTTCAAGTCCTCCTGGGAAGTTTGTATTTATCAGTTGGATGTCGTAATTATGAAGTCAAGTGCATTCGAGTCACTTTAGTCGGAGCAAAATGGTGATGTACATGTATCTAAAAAAATCACCTTTAAACTCTAAAAAAATTAACTCTACTTTAAAAAAGTGATATATAAAGAATGTAAGAATGTGCATAAGGTGTTTTTGCTTTAAAAATGTTTTTTTTAATTTAATTTATGAAGATGCTGCATGATGCTATCATATTTTGTACATCCAATTATGCTAGTTTTATTGTAAATAAAAAAAAAAACATAATTTGAACAAAGTTACCATAAATACAGACTGCTTCCATTGCGGCTGACATATTTTCTCACTGACACGACCTCAACTCGGAAACTTGGGGTTTAAAGAAATATTTTCCACTTGTAATTACAACTTTGTGGTGCCATTCATGTGCATTCAACTCGTAAATATGATCTTTTTCTGACATGACTTGAACACACCAAAAGTACCTGCTAGATGACATTTAGGAAAAATTGAGGAGGTCTAAAGTCTCTGTTTTTTTAAGGTACTCAACTGATTACTACGACCACACCTACATCATCACCTTTTTCGTTACGTGTTTTATCCTTCCTCTTGGTGTGATCATTATCTCCTATGGCAAACTTATGCAGAAACTCAGAAAGGTTGGTAATATACTCTTATGTTGATTTTCATTTTTTGTTTTATAGCAGATATAAATGAATAAAGAGGAAAAAAACTTGGTAACACTTTACAATAAGGTTTTCATTTGTTAACATTTAGTAACTAACATAATCTAACAATGACAATTTTTTCTAAAGCATTTTCTTTTTCATTCCAACATTTACTAATACATTTTTAAAATCAAGAGTTGAAAGCCTACTTATTAATGTTACTTAATGGACCTGAGCTGACATGGACTAACAGTGAAACGTTAAAGATGAATCAATACTGTAACAATATATTGCTCGTTGTTAGTTAATGTGAGTTAATGCATTAAATATAGTAAAAAAATGGAACCCTATTGTACAGTATTACCAAAAACTGAATAAAACTGGCAAAACAACAGAGAAGCTTTTGAGGTTCTGTCTGGTGTGCCTAATGTACATTAACATTAACTTACTCTTGGACTGCATTTAATCTTAGAACTCTAATATGTTTAATAGGTGTCGAACACTCATGGAAGGCTGGGTAATGCGCGTAAGCCTGACCGAGAGGTGGCGAGGATGGTCATTGTAATGATAGTTGCGTTCATGGTTGGATGGACACCATATGCAGCATTCTCAATAACTGTCACAGCCTGTCCCACAATTCATATTGATCCTCGCCTGGGCTCAATACCGGCATTCTTCTCAAAGACTGCAGCTGTGTACAATCCCATCATCTATGTCTTCATGAATAAGCAGGTATGTCTTTGCCATTTGTCATCCTTATCTGGCATTTTCGGATCACTTACACATTTTATTAAAAAAGTTTAGGGTGCCACGCTGAGAAAAAATCTGATGAGAGGCTTTTGTATTTTATATATTAAGAATCGATTTGTAGTGTTTTTATGTTTTTATACCATCAATCAATAAAAGACAGAAAAGCAACAAGGAGCAAAGACAGTAAATCTTACATGGCATATATAACGTACAAAATTAAACAACAAACTCACCATGTGACAGCTAAACACATAAGTATTATTTTTTTAATAGAATATGAATATACAATATGTATAAAAACATGTATATCTGTATATCTTTTTTCTTTTCTTTTTTTTTGGGGTTATTTTAGCTGTCTTGTCAGAATTTACTATGCTTTACTAGAAAAGCCATTGCATGAGCAGGTGGTCTGAACTTTTTTTCTTTCATCATATGTCGGCAACAAATCACAGACATCTGATGCTCTTTACTCTGACAGTTTTGGTTGAGGAGATTCCATTTTTCTTAGTTCAAAGGTGTATTATATATTCAAATTTAATGTTAAAATTCACAGATGCATTATGTTCCATATATTCCCATAGAAAAGTGTTGTATATCTCTCGAGTTATAAATCCACCTCAGGAAATGTTTGGGTGCTATAGCTTTCCAAAGGGGAGGTCTTAGGTCCCACAATTCAATTGCTTCAATTGCTTTGTTGTCCTGGGCCTGGTTTAAACCTCTGACTATTTCAATTTTTAAGATGTTCTGTATTCTCAGAGGAGTTACGTATTATGAGTGATACAGTCGGCACAGTTGCTCAATGATATCTTTTTTTTTTTTTTTTTACATATACATTAAGCTCGTAGGAAGATTTCTCCTCAGTGTCCCTGTAGTGTGCCGTTTGATGTAAAGGGCGAATCAGTGATCTTTTGTAGTCATGTGACTCTGATGACCACCCCTAGGATGTGGGTCCCAGGTGGTTTGGAGCGGAGGCTGCTGGACCCCCTGAGCTGTGCACATCTTCCAGAACTAACCCAATTCCTTCCCAGCTGTTCCCAGAATATATTCAGGTCAAGGGTCACAGGGTCGCAAATTTCTCTGATGTGAGAGAGAGAGACAGACTATATTATGGAGACACGAGAACAAACACTCAAGAGTGAGAATAGGGATGGTTTATATAGCATCAGTAATGCTGCATTGTGTTTGTTTTGATATCGCAAGAGCTCTTGAGCATATGGAGAATCCTACAAAAATGGAACATATCATATATAGGCTTTTTTATTGAGGTTTGCTGTTATTTGGTGTATTCAATAAGAATGCAAAGTTGATTGTCAGTCTTTTCTGAAATGGATCATATATAGAGTTGATAGATTCGAAATATAACATATACAGCTAGATTTTATTGTCTTTTTCAGTTGTCCTGGTATAATCAAGTGTTAGTTATTATGCATTAGGTAACATGAACAATATTTTTTTAGTATTTATTCATCTATTTTAATGTTAATTCATGAATATACAATTGTTCGTATTTGTTTATAATATATTACTGTTAATTTATGTACAAATTGTAATATTAAATGAAATATTAAAACGTATTAGCTGTAAAAGTATATGAACTTAGACTAATAAATGCTGTAGATGCTTTGCTCATTTTTAGTTCATAACAAAATGAACATTATTGTAAAGTGTTATCGTGCTTAATTTAACATTTTAACAGCTTATGTTGTTGTATAAGCAGTTAAAGTTTTCTGTGACTTTCCATTTCAGATCAGTGCAGTTTGTCTTTGTACCTTCTGCTTGTATTATTCTGTAAATGTATACCGACCATAGTGTTTCTCTGCATTACAAATTTGACCAAGAGTGTAGCTGGTATTATAATTACCCATGGTACCTAATTTTCATCCAGTCCAACCAAAACCTTGAGGAAATGAATATATTTACTTCTCATGACCTTATCTGCTTTAATTAAGGTCAAAATGTCCTTGTTTTTACATAGAATACATCTTGCTTAATGACCTTTTCCTCGTTTCAATGCTGGCAAATCCAATGTGTTTATTCATATTTTTATATCACACAAAGAAACCTGAAATAACACAGAATCTTTGAGATGAGTGTTGAGTGCTGTAGGCTCCCTTAAGCTCAGAAGCACTCTGTCAACATCAGACTGGTGAATGAAAACATCTGAATTCAATTTCTCCTGGCCACGGTTTGTTATCACCCTGGGTAGTGAGAGTAACCAAGTAACAGAGAACAGAAGAAGATTTATCAACAGAGGGCCACCATGCTTGTTCTCACTCATGAAGTAAAAAGTCAGAGGAGGTGAACAATTTTGGCCTGGAATCCTAAAGGAATAGATAAAAAAAAAAAAAAAGAAAGAAAAGAAAGAAAGAAAAGAAAAATGCTGAAAACGTACCCTCAGGCCATCAAATATGTTTAGCATTACATCACTTGCACACCAATGGATCCTCTGCAGTGAATGGGTGCCGTCAGAATGAGAGTCCAGACAGCTGATAAAAACATCACAATAATCCATAAGTAATCCACACAACTCCAGTCCATTATTAACTTATTTTGAAGTGAAAAGCTGCGTGTTTGTAATAAACAAAATCCATAATTTTAATGTCAAACTGTCACTTCTGGCCAAAATTCCAGTCTATAATACATAATAACACTTCCTTCAGTAAAAAATTCCATCCCCTGTTGTCCTATCACATCAAAATCCACCTACATAGTTGTTAAGCACTGTTTTGGACTGTTTGATCCATGCATATTTCTCTCCTGATTCAGACGAGACAACTTTTTCACTGGAGAAAGCAATGATTAGAGGAATCATATTTAGGCAGAAGCAACAGTTTGAAGTTAAAAACACCTTAATAATGGATTTGTTAATTACAAACACGTAGCTGTTAATTGATGTCCTTGTTTTTACATAGAATACATCTTGCTTAATGACCTTTTCCTCGTTTCAATGCAGAAGTTGTGCAAAGGTCTAACTACTGAAAACAAATTTCTACATGGTGGCACAGAGACTGGAAATATTAACTGTTGAGTTCATAAGAAGCATAATTAATAGCATAATTAAAATTATGTGTGTGTCATTTCTTTGATATGGAAAGACCATGATCCTTATTTACATTGAATCCAACATTCTTTCTCTCAGTTCAGGAAGTGCCTGATCCAGATGTTTAAAGGAAATGTCACCAATCTGGACTCCACCAATCTGAACCTGACATCAGACAAAGGGGCCATCACTGCCACAGCAGAGAGTCACCTTGGAGAGATGTCCACCATTGCAGCTCGCGTGCCTATGTCCATGTGCAACATGGAGAAGAGTGAGGATGAAGAGGAAGAGTCAGAGCAAAGCGGGAATGAAGGTCCAAAGCAGCTCCCTTTATCGGATAGTCGAGTGTGTCCTTTGTAGAGAAGGACTAGTCTGTCTGAATAAATGTATACCTTTAATCTTACCTGTTGTCTAACTAAAGCATAAATCCTACAGTTGTTACCTCTATTGGAATGCATATGTTAGAATGTATTGTTTGTGTTTTCACACGTTCCTTGTTTGTTGTTCGTATTTCTTTATGTTGTGGCGATTTGCAGTCTTGGCGTACTGTGTACTTGTCGGTATTGCGATATTACCTTACATAAACATGAAGGAGGCAGGCAATACATTTCCATACTGTCCTCTGAACGAACGCTATTTGTTTTTCTGATCTGTCTCCTCTCACTACGGTATATTTCTGATTGCACACTAGTACCAGTGGGGATGTTTTGTTTGTTTGTTTTAATGGCAACTGAAATGAAAGAATATAGTATTGCAATAGCTTTCAGGTCAGAATACTGACTTTCATTTTATGATCATTAATAGTCTACTTAAAAAAGATATTGGTTCAAAAACCAAAGGAGAAAGTGATCCTTCGTTGTTGAGATAAATCACAGGAGTCTTAAAGCAAAAACAACACAAACAGCCGAACACCAAAATTAAAATTGCTATTCTTGAAAATATAAAATAATCACTCAGCTTGTGATATTTGCTCCTCCCCCGGCTTCTTCTGGTTGGACCGCTGTTTTAAAACGGACATTGATGAGCTGCTCTGTATCACAAAATCTAAACCTGACCAAAGACGGTCATTCTAGTGCATGTTTACATAGAAAAAAAACAAAACAATAAAAGCTCATCTACACATCTCAGAATCTTACACAAACTGCTGTTTGATACCATAACAATTCATTTAGTGAACTAACGGGTCAAACAGGTTTGGCAGGGTATCTGCTTTGCAATATAGTAATAAACCATGCAATTAACATCCTCATCTGACGATTCAGTTTCTTGTCTATTGTTGAATTTGCGGTCTTGTTTTGAAAGGTTTAATGACGCAAGAGTGTTTATCAAATTGTATGTATTTAGTAGCCTATGGTGCACTTTGGTGTATTATTGCTTGTGAGTTTGAATGAACTGTCTGAATGTCTTATTAGGCCATAATGTTCGTTGTTTGCTCACAATTTCTGTCCAAACTGAATATTGATAATTGATGTTTGTCTGCGGCATGCCAAGTAATGTTTTACTTGTGTATTGTTTTTCAATGTCTTGGAGTCATTTAGATTTGGTGTCATATTTCAATTAATATGATTTTTCACATTTATTTTTTAAAACATGTCAGTGTTGTTGAACACTAATAAAATAACTCGCAATAACTTTCCAGAGTGGTCACTACTTATTATAGTTCAACACAGAGGCACATTGTGAATCAGTAATGAATATATATATATAAAAATATGAATAAACACATTGGATTTGCCACAGTACTATATGATTAGAGGAATCATATTTAGGCAGAAGCAACAGTTTGAAGTTAAAAACACCTTAATAATGGATTTGTTAATTACAAACACGTAGCTGTTAATTGATGGACTTGAGTCATATAGATTACTTGTGGATTATTGTAATGTTTTTATCAGCTGTTTGAACCTCAGCTGTTCTGATGGCACACATTTACTGCAGAGGATTCACTGCTGTAATGCTAAATGTTTTTCAAATCTGTTTCAAGTCATATATTGGATGGCTTCATTGGCCCGAGGGTGATTAAATTTCCAGCAGATTTTGGGTAAACTATTCCTATAAATCCTATGTTACCTATATCAGCAACAAAGACAACAATGTTTTCTTCAAACTCAGAGCTTATGGTAAATACATCATACAGCAGATGAAAGTGGCCTCAGCAATGGGCATGAACAAAGATGTCTTCTGAACAAAGGTACCTTTCCCCTAAAGCATTAGCAGACATTCCAAGGCATTCGATCGGACTTATGAATTTCAAATATTATTCCTAGTATGTCATACAATTCTGTGTGATCAATGACAATTACAAAGACCTCAAGATTAAAGTAGATGGGTTTAAAAGATGACATTTTTGCAGCGCTTTTGAGCCCTTGATGTGTATCAGTGATATAGTCATTAAAACAGTGTGAATACATCATGCCCTATAGCATATAAATTTTTTATGTGACATATACATCATAAACATTCATGTTACTATCCTCAGGGGATAGTTTGTGTGTGTGTGTGTGTGTGTTAAACATTAATAGAAAGAGACAGAAGATATATATATCCACCTAGTTTTTTTTTTTAAATAATGCTGTGCTATAACATGAACATTAGGTCAGATCTTATCACTTCGAACTTATAAGCTTACCCATAATACAACAGGTTTTGCAACAGGTTTTCACACTGAAATATCTATAGATTTAGTCACACTTATAAACGTGCCTGGCAAAACAAGAAATGAAATATATATGGTTGGATTTTCATTGCATCTTTACAAGCATAAAATATTTATTTAATTGCTTTAATTGTTTTTAATAAAATCTTTGCTTGTTACAGTTAAATGATGACCCAGTGATGCTGTTCCCTTTGTTAGAATATTACGCAAACCACCTAAATATGCATGGAAATACATGTCTGGCTACAAAATCTTTTGGTGTTTTGGTTTTACATTATTATTTTGTCTTGAAATGTTGAATTTTGTCCATGTCTTTGTCTCATTTCTATGTTAATTTTCAGAGCTTGTATTCTTCTGTGAAGGTTTCAGATTGGTATGAATTTCAAGATTTCTTGCTATAGAAATCTGCAGTGCCTGAGGTGCTCTGCAGTTACAATTCATCGGGCATGCTGAACTTTTTTGGTGGGAACTACTAATAGGAAATCTCCAAAGCAATGTGATAAGAACAGGCTTAGCTTGGTCACGAGGCCAACATGCCTGTTTACACAAACAGCAATGAGGTGACTGTAGGGCTCACTTGAAATTAATTACTTTCTGCAATTTTCTCTTTCATTTGAAGGTAGTGGAATGTCATGTGTGTATTTTTTCATGCCATTTAACACACAGTATCTACTTTGTGAAATCATCAGTAAAAGAAAAACAGTGTTGCCGGGAATTCTAATTTGCGACTTACAAAAATGATAAATGTCTGTTAACAGTCTAGATAGCATTTTACATGATACTTCAGACTATATTGCTGCTTTATTAAATGAAACAAAACTGTTTTGCCTAATAAGCAATTAAATGGGAATGGGATTTGTAGTCTTAGCATGTAATCAGCTCTCAAAGCAGAACAAATAAGATATTTTTTTTTCTTTATGGTAGACTAAGAACATCTTGTATGCACAGAAACAGCCCTTGGGGTCCCCATATGAGGAAAAGCACATCTGTCCTATATAAACACACTTTTAAATCTGTGCAGGAATGTCTTATATGAGGTAAAATTAAACTTCAGATGTGCACAGATATATGGCAATTCCAATCCATAAAACATAGAGGAGTCAGCAGCATTTAGCCAAACTTAATATTCCTGAAATATTCGATAGTACATGCACATAAGTTAGTTTAAAATTAAAAGTGTGTTTTTGTAGTTTACACAGATATTATAATGGTATAATTTCTAAAAACTTGCATTTTGAAACTTGTTTTCAAATGTTTGCCTTTTCAGGCCCCCAAAACGCTAACAGGCAAAATGCATTAAAAAGTTTTCCATATTTAATTGAAAACTGTGTCGTGAACTCCACGAGATACAGTGTTGTCATGGACGATGGTGAGTATTGAAATTATTCAGGGTATAGCACCATATTTACTTTTTGACAGAAAGGAAAATGAGGCTAAGAGAGATAGAAGTGCAGAGCGTTCAATGGATCGTACTGTTGTTAAACAACACCTATTGTTCAACTAATGAAACATCGTTCTGAAAAAAACTCAGAAACATAGTTTTGTGTTATTATGAGTTATGAAAAATATGGGTTACAGAATCCTTCTACAGTGCGTGCCATTGTAAAGAATGCAAGTATATCCTTCATAGCCCTGTTTTCATCCTCGTCTATCCTGGTGTATTATAGAAAGACTTTAATATTAGGAAATATCTGAACACCGAACGCCTCAGGTGACCAATCAGAATCAAGTAGCCTATTCCATAGAGCCATGTAATAACGTATAATGTTCCATTCCTGAGAAGATATTAAATGTTTACCGTATAATTGACCATCCATTATTATCTGCTCGTATCTGCCATGGGTTAGATTATGGTTTCTGCTTGAATTGTGAAGATTCATAGCCTACTAATGAACATCTCAGATAAGGGTTCCAAGTTCACTATACAGAACAATGAGAGCAGGCATAGTTGATCTTCACCTCACCCCAATCTGCATTTGTCCAACAGCTGAAATGCAGGCTAATTAGATAACACTCAAAACAATCAGTGATAAATTAAGAATCACATAAAAAGGATTCTGAGGTAGATTAATGAGGAGTGGCTCATGTAAATTTCCTGTTTTAACTTCTCATTGAACTTTGCTGAGGAAGTCACAGAGGACATTGTTAGTGCCGTCAACTCAATTACCTCTCATCATAGCTAAAAAAAGAAAGAAAGACACACGGTGAGAATAGGCTAATTAATCCAATAATGACAGTACATGTTGAAATGTGACCCAAATGGATGATGATGTGATAAGAAATTAATGCATACTGACACCAGCATGTTGTTTTTTTTAATTTTTTATTTGACATGATTTATTCAGTAATGAATCCATCCTCTGCTTCAAAAGGAATATAATTTACATAGCTGGTGTTTTGATTTTCTCTGTGCAATCCTCTGTTGGTTTTTCCTACATGGGATTTAAAAATCTCCCCCTCCTACTCACAATCTGGCCATTCCACTGCGGGATAATTAGCGCCAAATTGTGGACTTTAAAAATGTAGAAAGAAATGGGATGAGAATCCCGTGGAGATACAAGCAGGCATTGTAATGAGGTTAGCTGGGACGTGAATCAGCATTGGCATGCAGAGATCTGTGAATGAATGTCGACATGAGCCTGTGGTCGTGGTGATGGTGCATATATCAAGACCATCATCACTGAAGAGGTCAAAAGATAGTCTAGGCTTCAAAAACGGCTCATAAATAAATAAAATAAACATTTATAAAAATAGCCTTAAGGTGCGGACATCTAAAGTCGAGGTTGACATTTCGGTATGTTTCCTGACCTGGCATCTGTGATTTGGCAACTTGTTTGTAGTATTTGAAAGTCAGTGGCAGACCAAAGGGTGAGAGAACAACAAACACCAGTGGGATCAAAGCTAATCCATCAAAGTGTGTTGGTCGAGGAAATTAGTCTGGGACGGAAAGATAACTTCATATAAGGTCTGTTTATTACTCTCTGCCTGCCCAGTCCTTACATAATTGCAAATTCTACCATTCACTTTTGATTATAATGATGCATGTCTTTTAGTGGAAAGTCTGTGGTTCATTTAGAATATCTATAACCCCAGTAATTCTGGTTGTCAACCAATCTGATTGGACTTCTAGAGACCAAAGAGGTTAAAATTTAATTCTTTACCTCAACAAAAGATTCTTAGAAAGCATTTCATCAGACTGTTTTATCAGTCAAACTGACATCATAAACTCACAAAGCCATATAAGACACAGACAGCTAAAAGATATTTCACCATACATCAAATTTGTGTAAATATGTTTCTGACATCCTAAGCAACAGATTTAGCTACAAAGCTTCATATTAGGCATTAGAGTAAAAACCTCAATGCATAAAGCAAAAAGACAAATAAAAAGCATTTTTCCATTTAATTGTATTTTTGCATTTATGTCATTGTTTCAATGCAACATTCTATTATTATGTTTAGTTTTGGTTAGTTCTAATTGTCATTTAATATTAGTGCCAAAAATAGTGCTTTATGGGATTGATAAAAAAACAAAAACTTCATCAAATAATTGATTTGTATTTACTATTACAATAATTTTGATTATAATGTTGATTATATTATTGTGAAATATAATAATAATAGTTATTATTTAATAATTAGATTATTACATTTAATAACAACAACAATAATAGTAATAGTGGCAAGTAAAAGGATTTTTAATTAAGGCTGTTTGAAGATAAATCATTCACAAATAGTTATTCGTGGGAATCATCTCAACAAAAAAATGTGATTATAATTATTAAAAACCATAATTTTAATATTAAATCATATTTAATATTAATGTTAGTATTCAGAATTGCTAAGTAATATATTAAATTAATTTAAGGTTGTGTGAATGTGGCCTTTTTCTTGTTTCACTTCTTTTGAGTCCACTAGAGAGCACTGT